CTTAGATGTTTGTTTTGGGCCTTTTGGCCTTCAGGTGGGAGCCAGGAAGCCTGGAAGACTTTTAACCGCTTCGTGACTGGGGTTTAGACTTTAGGGACTTCAGGGTGTAGGGTTCAGTGGCTCTAGGTTTGGGGTCCTTGTTTGCATCTCTTGCAGCCGAACCCCACAGTTTCAACCCTCGTGCCTCGGGGTTGTGGGGCCGTCCGCACAGGCTGCCACCAGCCCATTTGAGGACCATGAGTTCGAGACCCCACTTGCCTTTGCCGTCAAGTGCGGCGTCTGTGACTTCCAGGTGCAGCTTAGACCGTAGACATTTCTTGAATTTGAAGTTTAGCATCTAGGCCACCTTGAGTCCGACGCACACCTAAGTCAGGATGTATGTTCAGGTTTTTGAGTACATGGTGACACGTGTGGGTCGGGTCCAGGACGCTTATTACTCGTTGTTTAGGTTTAAGGTTCAGCTTGATGTCTCGTCTTTTTCGCTCCAAATTCGGGCTTCACGTTTACGACCTCAACGGAGCTCAACCCAAGAACTCCATTGCTTCGAGTTCTTCAGAAGCGGTGCAATCCTGTTCCAGATTGATGTTGGGGATGTTTCCTCAACAAGGTCCTTGAGGCAGCTCTGGCATCAAGGTAGCAACATGAACCATACTCATCATCAACAGGAATCGCACCGTCACAACAATAACAACAACAACAACAACAACAACAACAACAACAACAACAACAACAACAACAACAACAACAACAACAACAACAACAACATTAACAACATTAACGACAACGACAACAACAACAACAACAACAACAACAAAGCTAGTAACAGTATTGACAACAAGGAAAAGAGTAAGAAGATTAATAGTAACACTAATCACCGTCATCATAATCACCACCACCATCATCATAACAACAACACTGGCAAGCCCATGAACAAATTCATAAAAGTCATCACAAGATTATCATCCAGAGCAACCATAAGACTAAATAGACATGATTACAACAATAGTCGCAATATGACATCTCCTGGGACAGAATGCCCTCTTGCGGACGTATCAGTATATTCTAGTAGATGAAAACTATATATTAATCGTTATATGGGAAGTAAACTACCAGTACATTCAGAGTATATGAACAGTACATGATATTATACGAGTAGATTATCGTAGTGAACGTGTCCAAGTAGCAATAATGACCTGAATCGACGTAGTCACCCCCACCACCCCCACCGCCACAATCACCGTGACCATCGCCATCACCAGCATTGCATTATCGCTGCTTCACAAAATTGACATGGGAGTTTCCGAAAATAAGGGGGTACCTTATTTGGGGGTCCTTATAATAAGGATCCTACTATTTAGGGTACTATATTAGGGTCCCCTATTTTAGGAAACCCCCAAATTGACATAGATTGATTTCCTCTTGAGACCGAATACCAACGGCTTGACAAGACCCAGTAGATTGCTTTCGCGACCCACAGCTGCATTTCTGCTGCAACTCCACAAAGGCCCGTTTCTAGATTTAGATCCCAGACAGGACTCAAGCCTCTACATGCGAGGTGATCCGACTCCTCCTACGATACGGTGCCGATGTGCAGGGGCGCGGTGCTTGCAATCGCGTCCCGGACTAATGATTCATGATTTACTCGAGCGTACTAGACTATTCCTGTGTTGTTGGTTCTTGTTGCAGGATTTGGCGCTAGATTTGGCACACCTTTCTTCGTGCGGCTACAGAAGGTCACCAGCAGCTGCCTATTTTACTGTCCCTTCGCCGTCACGATGATCATTTGCTGTGACACTGCTTTGCCAGCTTAGGGTCCTGCTTGGCATCAGCTGCATGGCCCCCCTCCAACGATCCACAGATCAGGAACCCAGAGACTCCAAAGCCCCTTAGTTAAGGAATATACCTTAAATTATAATAGGATCCCTAATATGATTTAAGGTATATTCCTTAATTAAGGGATATTGGAGTCACTGGGTCCAACGATCCACAGATCAGGAATCCTTTCCGAGAGCACCCGCACTCACGACCACCATGACGCTCAGTCTCACTGCTTCTCGCAAAGCAGCACGCATGGTCACCCAGTTTGGCAATTTGGAAGCTGTTCCCAGCAGCCTGGAACCAGCAAGCACCATGATTTTTGGGTTTTGTGGTCTAGGGTTTAAGGGTTTAGGGTTTCCCTGCGATGCCCCTTCCCTGCGTCCAGCCAATACGGTGCCTATATTATATGGGTTTCAAAGGGCTTACCGAGGTTTGGGGTTTAAGCTAGGCGGGAGGAGTAATACAAGCGACTAACTTGTAGATACAGAAACTACAAACTCATGGGAATGTTTAGGCTGCAGCACTTACAGTGCAGCCAGATCTAACCAATTCACCGAGTTCTTGAGTTCAATATGCCACAACAACCGTGCGATGAGTCTTGTTTGCACATGATGGCCTGAATGCCGAACCTTCGACCTTAAAACCTTAAGCCCTAAACCCCGAAACCCGAGACCCTAAACCGTTAAGCACTCTGAAGTAGGACGTAAGCGGAGCAAAGACGCACTCACGAGCGATCTCGACTCGCAGCAAGCTGCAGGCACCGCCGCTGAGATAGTTGCAGAGAGGCAGGGTGCCATGTTCTGTTCTTGGGGCTTTGGATATCGAATTTTCTGTGCTGAAGAGTAGCCCGAACGCGGCGCCTCTGGAGCCAAGCAAGGAAGGGTTCAAGGTTTGGGTTAGGGCTGGGCTGAAGCCTCAAAAATTCGAGTCTTTTCAGGCTTCACATGTGAACTCCTCAGCCAGCCCTCCTCCAAATTCGCAGGGTATTTCACAGCGAAGTCTTAGTCTAAAGCGCTGCACGCCTGAGGCTGAGAAAAGAGGATATTGGGTTTGCCTTTCGGCGTATCTCATGTCTGCAGTTTAAGGTTTCAGGCCAGCAGCTCAAAAAGCAACCCTTCTAGAACTCTTTGCAGAGCCTCTCAAGCCTAAACCCTATAGACCCTAAACCCTGAACCGCCCTAAACCCCGAACCTCAAAGGCGGGTAGGGAGCTTCTTAGGGCTCAGGTTATTTTCTTTGCTTGGTGCCGGGGTTTAGGGGTTTAGGGGTTTAGGAGTTTAGGGGTTCACGGTTTAGGGTTTAGGGTTTAGGGTTTAGGGTTTAGGGGTTTAGGGTCCGAGTCTACAGCAGTGGGGGGTTGCAATGGGTAGTTCTCTAGCTAAGGGCCCCTTCTTCTTATAGGGGTGCTGCCTTCTTTTGGGTTCCTAAAACTCTAGTTCAGAGAAATTCTCAACTAGCCTATGTGATATAGGGATTTAGTATTTAGGGTTTAGGGTAAGCCTTGAGGGTCAGGCTTGAGGATCCTCAACCCATATAGTAACCCTTCCAAGGAACCCGCCTATGTCCCTATGTTTAAGTACCCTACTTATGGAAGCCTTGTCGCAACCCTTAGAGACACCTTCGTAGACCGCTTACAGGAACCCGGTTCTAATTATGTTAAGGGACCCTGTTCCAAACCCTAAACCCTCAACCCTAAACCCTCAACCCTAAGCGCTAAAGTGAACAAAAAAACCTAAACCCTCAACCCTAAGCCCTAAAGCGAACAACAACAAACCTAAACCCTCATCCCTAAGCCCTAAAGTGACAAAAAAACCTGAACCCTCATCCCTAAGCAATAAAGTGAACAAAAAAACCTAAACCCTCAACCCTAAAACCCTAAAGCGAACAAAACAACCTAAACCCCAAACCCTAAAGTGAACAAAAAAAGCCTAAACCCACAACCCTAAACCCTAAAGTGGACAAAACAACCTAAACCCTCAACCCTAAGCCCTAAAGTGATCAAAACAACCTAAGCCCTCAACCCTACGCCCTAAAGTGAACAAAACAACCTAAACCCTCAACCCTACGCCCTAAAGTGAACAAAACAACCTCAACCCTCAACCCTAAGCCCTAACCCNNCCCCCCCCCCCCCCCCCGTTCTTCGGTGCCAGGCTAAAGAGGTACGAAGACCCGACTTTGGCCTTCTGCCAGTTGCAGGATCCTACTCAGGTGGGCCCTTTGGGGTTCCTTTGAAGGTTGGTTTAGGGTTTAGGGTT